AGCAGCCTCCCAGCCACCGATTGTGGTGAGGAGCAGCCAGACCTTCGCCTCGTCCCCTCCCAGCTCTGGCCACAGGGGCTGGTGATCTCCATCCGAAGGGTGCTGCTCGCCAGGCACCACAACTTAGTATGGACCACCATCAAAACAGGAGAAGCAACCTAATCTACGAGTGCATTAGGGTGTCAGAAAACAATAATCCAAGAAGGAAACACATTATCTGGCCTTGTTACTTTACAAAGTAATTTAAATTAATTTTTCCCTAGAGTGGTTAGGGAGCACTGCAACTTGCCCTTGTCTATTCTCTCCGGCTAATGAAGCTTTACCAGAGACTGCTCGTGAATTCCTATTAAGACCTCATCTTAGAGGTTACAGGGCAAAGCAATTTCTGCTCCCGGGAAAGATGCCTATGAATTTGTAATTGTAAGTCCGTGTTTGATAGGGATTAGCATCTGAAAGGGGTAGAGTGGTGGGTAGCAGAGAAAACATTATTTCAATTAGCAGAAGAAAAGCAACTTAACATCTGATTATAGTTTACACTTCTAATTTTCTCCCAGTCTGGCATCTGGGATAATTATTTCCTGAAGCCATCCGCACCCACCGAGCCAGCCAGCTTTTTCCTTCTCCTCCTGGTCATCTTGGCTGCGAGTGACATGGGAATGGCCGAGGAGCTGGGTTTTCTCTTTCTGCTCTTCTCCCAGTCAGTGGCCGGCCTCCTGGAATTTGGGGATGGAGGGGGGCTGCTGTGCAAGCCAGGCTGAAAGGAGATGAGATGTTTCTCTTCACACCGAGGAGGTGCAGGACGTGGAGGATGGGGCTTTGCTCAATGGGCAGGGTGGTGGCCAGCAGCATGGCATGGGGCTGGTGCCTGGCACTCCCAGCTGAAAAAACGTGCAATTTGGAAAGCTTTTGGGGAGCCCTCTGGGGAGAGCACAGGGTCACAGCCTTCCCTCTTCATCTGGCAAAGAAAGAGGGAAGGTGTCCTTTGAGGGATACATTTCTGTACTCAGAAATTCAATCCAATTCCAATCATCCAATTTCTCCCCAGTTTACAAAGGCTGGGGGACTTGGCCCTGGCAACAACCCACAGTCCTGCTCCTTTTTCCTGACTGATTGGCCTTCTATTTCCTAATGATGATGCAATCAGTTGTCAGATGGGAGATTCCTCGTGAGGAGGCTTGTTGTTATTTAAGGAAGATCACGAAATCCATCCTTAATGAAAGGACAGGAGAAAACCCTTCCACCAAGTTACACTGGAGCCTGAGATTATCATTTTTATGGGTTTCCAATCTTTCCTGCCTTATCAGCCAATGCAGCTGGAGGCTTCAAAAACCCTCCCAGCTTGCTGCTGATTTTATGGGACGAAGATTAGAGATGATCAGATAGTGAATTATTCATTCCACTTGATATGGCGGGGCAGGGGGGAATATCCAAGCACGAGCCAGCTCCCTTCTCCCTCCCTGAGCACCTCGTGGTGGGATCCCGGCTATCAGCCGCCCCAGTAGCACGGTGGCAGTGCTCTGAAATGAGCAGGGGTGCACAAAGACGAGGGGGAATCGATAACGTGTGTCCTTCCAGCAGCAGTAGGGAAGATCGGGTGGTTGTTTTCTTAGCCTAATGTCTCCAGCTTGGGGGGATGAGGTTACTGGGGACGTGTTTTCAGAGCCCCAGCAGGCGCTGAGCCTCCTTTGCTCTGTGGGCCCAGGACCTCTCAGAGGGTGAATCCTGGCAAACAGGCAGCTGGGGAGAGGAGGGAGCCAGATTTATATTGGATATAAAGGAGAAAGGTTTCGTGATGAGGGTGGTGAGGCACTGGAAGAGCTGCCCAGAGAAGCTGCGGATGGCCCATCACCAGAAGTGTGCAAAGCTGGGCTGGAGGGGGCTTTGAGCAGCCTGGTCTGGGGGGAGACATCCCTGCCCGTGGCAGTGGGAAGGACTGGATGGGCTTTAAGGGCAGACGGTGGGGGCCGCCAGGTTGGTCCGCCACTGAGTAACCAGTGGGTGAAATAGCTCACTCATTGCGGCAGGCAAGTCCTGCCAACATTGTCCTGCCTGGCCCTGCACAGGAGGCCAGGCAGCATGGGAGGAGGGGGGGGTAATCCATGAAACCCCCCTGCAAGTGTCCGTTTCGGCCCCTGCTGATCGAAGGCTTGCACTCAGAGCCATGCCATCTGCAGCGGGGTTTGCACCAGGAGCTCCACCTGAGATCACGAAGCCACTGGCAATAGGAAACTGGGGAGTTCTGGGGCAGGCTGGGAATATTTTTTGATGGAAAATGTCAAAAAAATACCCAAACAAATAAAAAAAATGGGGCTTGTTTGTTTATTTTTTTTTTCTTTTCTTTTTGGAGCAACCATTTAAACATGAATTCAATGATTTGATTTTTTAAAGGAACAATGTGATCTTTTCTTCAGGCTGTTCAGGCTTGCTCTTACCTGTTTTGTTTCTTAATTTGTTTGTCTCTTTCTGATGAAGTGGGAGGAGATGGGGAGGACGAAGGAGGGAAGGAAGGAGGGAGGGAGGAAGGAAGTGAAGGAGAAAGGCAAATAACCTCCATCCAAACACGGAGCCCCACAAACGTTTTTGAAGAGGAACTGGCATCTGCACCCTGAGCCATATCACCCAGGAACACATTTTAGGCTCAGGAATGCGCTCTGAGCAAACGTTCATTTTGGCTTAAAAAAAAAGACATAATTTCTTTGGGGGGGGAAAAAATGACAAATTTTGGAGGATATCAGCATGAATCCCAAAATACCAAGACCTGGCTGTGCAGGAGGGTTGCTGTATGGGCAGCAGCTCACAGGAGGCCCTAGGAGAGAGCCTAACGGGAACGTGCAGCTCCTTGTCTCTGCACCTCGCGTGCTTCCACTGCCAGGGTTATAAAGGGACAAAGCAGGTGGAAAATTATTTGCTGAAATTTTTGACTTGGCCCCTGCGTTAAGCCCACCGCCACTAAAGCTGCTTGCAGTTTCTCATCCCCCCGGGGCAGACTGAGCGATATGCAGCCCTGGTGCTTTGAGCCACAATGGTGCATACCTCCCTAATGGCTGCCATGGGCTCAGCAGATGCCTTGGAGCTTTGTAAGCTTTGAGATAAGCAAAGGAATCATTCCCTGGCCTCATGACCAAGGACAGACCAAGAGCACTTCCTTAAGTGTCTTACAAACGGGGGAACGTGTGATGGTGAAGTGGGTTTTGCTCCTAAGGAGGGAGCTGACAGCGAGAGCCCCACCTAGCAGCCCTGCCTTCACCTCTTGGTCTGCCATGCCCCCTATTTTGGGAGACATCCCTACCCGTGGAAAATCCCCCTGAAATCCCTGGGGCTGGGCTGGGCAGGGGTGATGAGATGTCCTGGAGTAAGGGTGGAGGAGGGATAAGGAAACCCCACGAGCTCTGCTGTGACTGCAGGGTGGGTAGCAATTAGCAGGGGGTGTCTCAGGCACCGAAGTTTCTAAAGGCAGCAGCAGGGCGGGGTGCTACAGGGCTTCTGCTGCTAAGGGCTTCTGCTCCAGACAGGTTTATTTTTATTTTTATTTATTTATTTATTTATTTTTATTTTTATTTATTTGCCAGGGTTTTGCTAAGAGACAAGCGACACGCAGTCAGCAGCGATCACAATCTCTGCACGTTTCCCTGGAACGGGAGACACGCCAAGTCCTTGGGAAACCAAAGTTCACTCTCATTATTATTTCTTCGTAAGCCAGCTCATCCCTTTTGATTCACAGCGGGATTGCTTTCACAGGACCTTGCTATGGGCAGGTCCCGGTTATCCCACGTCCTTCCCAGGTGCACGGGGACAGTCCCCACCTCGGAGAGTCCCTCCCTTGCTTCTTGCAAGAGACGTCAGCAGGGTTAGCAGGAGGCTTACCCGCGCTGCACGTGGGGATCAGGGCATGGCAAGGTGCCCAAAGGAATGGTGAGAGAGCTGGGAGATGGTTTTCAAGCCAGCTCCAGCCCATTTCCAGCATAAATAACATTGCTTTTAGGTCCAGGGGGAAAAGGAGGGATGGAGAGGGGAAATCCTGCAGGTGTGCAGGCACGGAGGGGGATGCTCACACCCAGCTCGTGGGAGGGCTGGGAGATGCAGCGAGAGGAATGACGGTGACACCGCTGGCTCCCAGTTCCAAAATTCCCTTGGGGAGTAACCAGGATTGAGCAGCCACAAAGCCAAGCAGCTCCAACTCTTCCTGCAGGCTGACCTGTCAGCTGCCCGCAGCTGGAAGCTGGCCTGCACCAGCCCCAGCCCCAGCCCCACGCCTTCCAGCCCTCAGCAGCAGCCATGCTGCTTCCTCGTGTGTTTCTGCCTCTTCTGGTGTCAGGAGAAATCTGGAAACAGTCCCGCAGGCTCAATAAAACCAGCGCTGTGTTTGTGATGTTTGACAGCCTCCCGTTTAACAAGGCACGGGGCAGGGGAGGCAGCAAGCAGCAGCTTTAATACAAGGAGGTTTCTAAACCACAAATGTGTTTTCCTAGGTTGTTTATGGCACTTGCTGAAAGGAACAGAAGCAGTTCTTTCTCTTTGCACCCCTCTTTCTTGGGATGAGCAGCGAAATGAGGGGGTCCATGTCGGGATGGGGAGGCTCCTCCAGCCTCCCAGCCGCAGGAGGGTGGTTGGGGGTCCCAGCAGGGCCCTGCTCGGTGGCAGGGAGGGAAGGGGGAGAGGGGAGCAGGGTCGGAGGAGTCTCAGCTCTTAGCCCGCATGCCCCAGGCGTGATCGGCAGAGATTTGCGGCTCGGGGCGGTGCTGCTTCCTCCTGCGCCCATGCAAATGTCGGCTGGGCGGCTCGGCTCCCTTCCAAGCCCGGAGGGGATCGTCAGGTTCAAGTCGCCTTGCCCCCAAATTCCCCGGCAGCCTTGGCTCTGGGGCGGCAAAAAAAAAATAAAGAAAGAAAGACAGAAGAAAAAAAAAAAAAAAAAAGAGCCACCTCCTCCGCCCCCCCCCATCCTCAAGCCCTCCCCTTCCCGGGGCAGGGGTTTGAATAGCCAGGTGTGAGCATCAGCCTCCCTGTTAATGAGTTTGATAATTTACCCGGCTCATTCCTGCGGGAGGGAGGGCTCCGAGCGCAGCGCGGCTCTTCCCCGGCGAGCAGGGGCCGCTCCGCAAATCCCCGCACCGCAAATCCCCGCACCGCACCGCAGCCCCGCACCGTCACCCGCACCATGCCGGCCCTGGGGCTCGTCGCCCTCGGGCTCCTCCTGGTGCTGGAGCCCGCAAGCTGCCAGCAAGGTAAGAGCCGGCAGCCCCCCTGCTGCCCCCCGCCCGGGGAAACTGAGGCACGGGGAGCGCGCTGGGGAGGCTGCGGGGACAGGGGGCACCCCCGGGAGAGTTTTCTGGGAATGGGAAAAACGCCTCAGAAATGGGAAAAATCCCTTTAGGGAGTGCACAGGCTCGCTGCTCGCTTCACCTGGCTCTGGAGGTGCCGACAGGAGCTCAGCTCTCCAGGTTAGGCGGCGACAGAGCGGCTCTGATTTATCCCCGCAGCACCGCGCGCTCTGAGGCAAGCAGCGTGTTGTCTTAAGGCTTTTTTTTTTAATTATTATTATTTTTTCCTTATTTCTCGCTCTTGACCCCGGGAAAGCATTCCGTGGGGTTGCTTTTCCGTCTCATTCCAAGAGCTCACAGGTTTTCCTGTAGTTTTGATCTCTGGTGAGGTGGCAGGGGGAGATATTTCCCTCTGCAAATTGGGCTTCCGCTCCCTTCCCCAAGGCTTTAGAGAGAAACTTCCTATTGCTATGACATTATTTTCATGAAACGCAGGGGAAGACTTGTCTGACACTACAAATAATCAGGAGTAATTAAAACTAATGTGATCCTGCCAAAGCGCTGGAAAACTCCCTCCCCCTTTCTCCTCCTGATGCCCCAGCCTTGACCCCTCTTCCTGTATTTGTTTACCAACTTGCGAAGGATTTAACAGCGTGGGGTCTCCACCGTCAGCAGGATTGAAAGTTTTGCTGTTGCTTTGAAAGAAAAAAAAAAAAAGCCTTTAATGAGGACTCGGAGCCTGGCACAACTTCCTCAGACATAGCAAAACTCAGAGCACAGCCGATGCTTTCCAAGCGCTCAGGGAAGATGCACCAGAAGTTGTCTGTGTCTGAAGACACGACTGAGAATGGAAATGGAGTTACGCTGTGCACCAGGGCGTATTTTGGCATCGATGCTTTCCTCGATCTCAGCTGGAGCTGCAAAGGGATGGGCACACGCCTGTCAGGGAGTGCAGAGGCTACGCCCCATGTTGGTTATTTGGCTCAGGAGTTCTTGTTTGCTGTAGAACAACCCACCGGAGGTGGTCAGGTGCCCTGGGAGGGATGGCTCTCTTAAAAAATTGTCAGGGAAGGCAAGTGAGTGTCATCCATCCTGCCTGCCATCCCTCCCAGGCCAAAGTGTGTGCTCCAGCCCGCGGCGGTGCCAGGCAGGGCTCCCATCTATGCACTCACTCCCTGATAAGATCTCACCAACCCCTGGGCGCAGACACTTGTCTCTGCCTGACTCCCAGCCCTTCCCCTGGATGGATTCGTGCAGCCCCTGCCCCACGGGGACATTTCAGCCTGCAGCAGAGGCACCCCAGGGCTCACCCACATTGCTGGGCTCTCTGCCTCTGCTTTGGTTTAGGATCTGGGTCCCTGCTAGGTTCATGAAATCTCAAAATAGTGGGAAGAGGCCCCTGGGGGTCACTGCTCCAACCCCTGCTCAGGCAGGGCCACCCAGAGCAGGGTGCCCAGGACCACGTCCAGATTTGAAGATCTCCGAGGAGGAGACCCCACAACCTCTCTGGGCAGCCTCACCTGCACAGCACAGAAGAGCTTCCTGATGGTCAGATGGAAATTCAAACCCAGGCTGACCTTGAACTCCTTTAACCCCAGCAGCAAACTCATCCTGGGCTGGACCTGGACCTCCCTTCCTGGGCTCGGACTGGAAACCATGGTCCCAGCAGGAAAAATAAACCACAAATAATAAATAAATCTGGCTGAGAAAACAGCCAAGGACAGAGCGAGGGAGGAAACAAAGCTGATCAGGCCTCAGGGTGGGGGTAAAAGGTGTCTTTGGGGGTGTTTGACAGGGCAGGAGATGTTCCTGCCCACCAGATCGTGCAGGTGGGGACCGAGCCCTGCTCTTTCCCCTACCACCATCCCCACACCATGGGCACCAGCAGCCCACGGGTTTGAGGGGACTGCAGGCGAAGCACACTGCTGACACAAGAGGGAATTTCCGCCTGAATTCCTCCCAGCTGAGATTTGGCCCCGGGACCTTGCAGTAAACACGCTGCGGTGTCTGTGAGGGGAGGGAGGGTGAGAGCCGCTGCTGGGGCTGCTGGCACCCACTGCTCCATCACGGGGTCACCTGCTCCCCAAAACCTGCAGGCGGTGAGCCAGCAGCCTCCTGAAACACAGCACGGGTGGGAGAGTTCGGGTCTGTATTCATATTATTTAAACAAAAGCCCCTTGGGGTAGGTATTCAAGGAGCTGAGCCCAAAGCAGAGCCGGGAGGCGGGATGGCAGCCGGCAGCAGAGGTGGCGTGTGGCTGCCTGGATGATTGGTTTGCAAACACAGGTTGCACAGCGCCTTTATTGCCTCTGGTGAGGACTGTTTGCAGCTTAGAGCAGGGATCTGTCTGGACAAAGTGTTCAGCCAGCGAGAGGCTCTGGTGTCGGGCCGAAGTGGCTGTGCTGGGGCTGGGGACACGGCGGCAGAGGCGGTGACGTGGGGGGAGTGTTTGGGGCTGGCTGCCTCCGCCAGCCCCATCCACACATGCCAGGGTTTCCTTTGTGGGTGAGGAGCTGAGGAAGAAGAAAAGCCTAGCCTGGGTGAAGCTGTAATTAAATCCTGAAGGGATGTAACTGTGCTGATGAGCTCTGCTTTTGGTGCTGGTGCTGACACCGAGGATGGTGCTCAGGCTGGGGCTGGGTATGTCTGGGTGCTCCCTTGTGCAGCAGCCCCCAAGAATTGAGGAGCAGCCACCCCAGCAAGGACTGAGACAAGGCTTCCTCCTCTTTCTGTCCTGCCCTGGAGTTTCTCCTGTTTGCAGGAACACGTCTCGCAGCCGTCCCACCCGTGGCCAGGTCACCGCTTGGGCATGGCCACAGAAGAATGACTCCGTGTTCTCCCGACGCTCCTGCGAGCGCACGTGTTGAGCCAGACTCCACGTGAGCAGCACCAGCGCGAGACGAGGGGCTGCAGGTCAGGGCTCCAGCTGCTCCTCATCCTCCTCCAGGAGCTTCGTGTGCCCGCAGGCAGCTCGGGCAAAGACTGGAAAAAGACTGGAGGCAGGGGGGGCTCGGTTATGTCCCCTGGGGTGACAGGGATGCCGCAGCTCCCCGCCGCCCCCCCCGGACCGCCGCCAGCCCCGCCTGGCTTTTGTGCCGTTGGCTGTTGCTCTGAACCGCTCAGCCTTCAATTTCCCGTCGTAAATCAGTTTGCTGCTCTGGAAACTTGCTGAACGGCGGATTTTACCCAAATCCACGGCGGCAGCGGTTTGCTGCGAGAGTGACAACGGAATTTTACAGCGTCACTGCTGTCACTTACCGCCCCGGGCGGTGTTTGGAAAACAAGCCGGGAGCGATGCCTGGGGCATGTGTGCTCTGAGCCGTTTGCTGGAACCCCTCTGCCTGTTATTTTGGGCAAACAGCCTCCTGCTGCGCTGTGCCACCAGTCCCAGGGGCATCTACATCCCTCCTTTGCTCTCTGTACATACATGAAAAGACACAAGAGGTCCCAAATCTGCAAGGCACCGAGCTCTGCATGCAAGTACCGGGGAGATTGATGCTATTTGCACCCCATGCTGGCACAGGCAGACACATAAACCCGCTCTGGGCTAGCAGCAGTGCCCTCTGCTCAGCTTTGTAGGGTTGAACTCTTGGCTGGACATTGATGGAGAAGCTCGGCCCAGCAGGCAAAGCACACGCACGCATTTCATATCACTCCTGTCCTTGTTTTTTCCCTGCAGCCAGGGGTAAGCTCCAGCCATGGTCGCAAGGTGTCATCGCAGCGGTGGTGTTCCTGGTGCTGGTGGCGATCGTCTTCGTGGTCAACAGGTTCTGGTGTAACAAGAAGAGGTGAGCGCTGGGCCCGGGGATGCTCGGGGCTGGCATCCAGCACCTCTGTCACCGTGCTGGTGCTGGCAGCACCACAATCATGGCACAAAAACAAGCAGTTTTGGGGGGTGAAAACAAGCCCCAAATGTTTTAATTGGTGAAGCAGACTGAGCCAAGGCAGGAGAGGAGCCGGCAGCAGAGCGAGGCGGCCGAGCAGCCCCGGTCCCGGGGCAGCGATGTGGACTTGACCCGTGGTGGAGGCGGCACGGGGCGGGCACCTCCTGCTCGCTGCGTGCTGAGCTCGCTCAGCTGACCCCTGCCTCGCTCGGTTGCAGGAACTCGATCTTGAACCCGAGCCCAAAGTCAGGCAAGGGACAAGGACTGAACGTGCCCAGCAGCCTGCGTCCTGGTGGGTTTGGCACCAGTCCCTGCCACCCTGTGTCCCCCCTGTGCCCATCAGCCCAAGCCAGGCTGCTCCTTCCCAGCCTGGAGGCCCCAGCGGCAGGGTTGGGGGCAGCCGGGGGAGGCAGCAAGGGGTGAACCCGCAGGCTCTGGGCTGAGACTGAGCACACGTTTGCTGTGGGATGGCTCCTTTGGGGAGCTGGGCAGCCTCACGCCCAGGAGGAAGATGCTCAGCGGTGCTCACAGGGGGCCGTGCACACACGGGGACGTGCACACACACATGCACACACCCTTCTGCACCAGGGCTGGGGCGGAGGCACGGCCCCCGCTTATCTGCCTGGGTCGCTTCTGACTGCGGGTGATTATTTTGCAACGGATTACACAGAAGGCAACTGGAAAAACCAGTCAGCAGGAGAAAACAACCCCGCTGTGTGCCAGATACGGTGACCCCGGTGCCGGGAGCACCCCGTGGGGCTTGTGGCTGGGGTTCCCCGGCAGTGCCTCCACCCCGAGAGGCAAATGTGAGCTGTGGCTCTTGGCACTCAGGGTATGGGCACAGCCCTGAAAAGCCGCCCAGGTGGCTCAGCCTCTGCTGTCCCACATCCTTCTGGGTGCCGTCAGAGCCACCAAGAGCCATGGGTTTGGCTGCTCTTCTCTTGCCCTGCTAAGGGGCTCTTTCCTCTCCCCCTGCAGGAGGGATAACGTTGAGTCAGGGGTGACCACAGGGGGCAAGGAGGAGGCTGTCACGTCCAACGGGCACGAAGGGACATACGCGAGCACCGCAAATGACTTCAGGTGAGGGACGTGCTCAGGAACCCCCTCCCTGTGGCTCCTGGGCTCACGCAGAGCCATGGCCTCTGCCCTCCTCTGGGTCTCCCACCCCATGCACCTGGTTTTGGGGTTTTTGTCCTTCCCAGGGGGAAGCAGAAGGTGGTGAAGGACAGCAGTGCTCCCGCCCTGCTCACCACCTCCTGGGGCTGCCACGGCACAGCCTCACCCAGCCACAGCTTTGGAGGCGAGCTAACAGCCTGTGCTTCTCCCCCCACCCCAGGTCCAAGGAGAGCACGCACGCCTACGAGAACACGCTGGAGCTGGAGGAGAGGGTGGTGACCACCGCCATGTAGCAGCATCCCCCTGTCCCATTTTCCTTTCTCCACCCCTCGCCCTGCCTCCCGTGGCCACGCCGGGACCCTTTTCCCCGATGTCCCCCCGCACGGAGCCTGTCCCAGCCCTGCCATCTCTGTCCCTTTCTCCCCACCACGTCCCGGCTGCAGGACCTGCTGCTCTGCCCCCCTGCCAGCCCCACCGGGGCACTGCGGGGCCGCTGACCTGATCTGGACATGCACGGGGGTCCTTGTGGGGTGTGTGGGATCCCCTTTTCCCCCCCACACACATCCCCAGCTGCCCTCGGGGAAGCTGGCGATCCAGAACCCGCTCTCGTCTCCCCATCTCACCCTCCTTTCTACGAGCAAAGGCCCTACAGCACGTGTCTTCGTTTCAGAACAAATCTCCTCCCCTGTACATATCTTCCCTGCCAGCAATAAAGAGGATTGCTGTGCATGCGGGGTCATTTCCCTGATCACCCGCAGGACTCTCTGGCATCTCGCAGCGCTCCCAGCCTCCGGGCGCTTCGGGGAAGGTGGTGCAGGGTGGGAAGGGTGCTCAGACAGGGGCCAGCACCCCGTGATCCCCTGGGTAGGATCTGTTCCTTATTTCCTAGCTCAGATGAAGCCCAAACCACTTTTTCCTGCGTTGATGTGTCAACAAAGGGTAGAAAAAGGAGATGGACTTTTATTTCGCTCGGTGTAGGGGAGGCAAGCATCACCCCCTGCCATTCCTGAGGTGGGGAAACTGAGGCACGGAGCCAGCCCAGCACTTCCCAGTGCTGCTCGGTGGGTGAAGAGCACAGCTCCCCGAATCCCACCATCCACAGGGTGCAGACCTGCAGCAAACTGGGAACCATTTCCAGGCTGGGCACGAAGCACTCGCTCCCCCTGCGTTGCCAGGCAGTGGCTGTGGGGCTGCTCTGCCTCCAGCCTCTCCCCCCCAGGCCGTTTGTTCATTAACCCGGCTCCCTCCTGCCGAAGGGATGGGGTTTTCTGCAGCAGGGACGGTGCCTGGGAAGCGCTCACAGGGGTGCCATCGCTTCCACGCGTGTGCTGCTGAGCACTGCAAGCTCCTGCCCCGTGGCCAAGGCTTCCCGCAGGTGACACTCGATGTCCCTGCTGGGGAAGGCTCTGGGCACTGAGAAACCAGGCACTGCCCCGTGCCTGGGGGTACAGACACGGGGCTGGAAGTGAGCCCCCTCAGCTCGCCCCCTGGTCAAGGCTGCTCCCCTGGCTTTTCTTTCACGGGTGCCAAACTGCGTGGCTTTGACAAACAAGATCCCCAGGGTTCGCCGGTAATGATTTGCTCAGCAGAATTTGCCGAGGATTACTCATTTCGCCTGCCCGCTGCGTCAGCACTCCGGCTTGCGGCTGGGGGGTGTGGCGAGAGGATGGGCACCCATTAATTTTTACCTCCCGGTTGCAAAAGAAGTTATAAACAGCATCCTTATAATGAGTAACGAGCTCGTTCCCTGCCTCGTGCGCACCCCGAATGAGCCATCCCCGGGTTTGGGGCAGGTGACGTGGGGTCGGTGCTCAGCATCCCCTGCCCTTCGTGGCCGTGGGTGCTCCAGGAGAGGGTTGGGGCTTTTGGACAAGGCCAAGCAGCCTCCAAAGAACAAAAGGGAACGAGCAGGAATGAAATTTATTGTTGGAAAAATCTTAATTAGATTTGAAGCCCCAAAGGGAGAAAAGTGAGGTATTATCTGACACTGCTAATGAGTGTTAAGGGTCTATTGTTGGATTTCTTGTTTACCTTTCTGTGCTGGCTGATACGGCCTGGATCCTCGCCTGTACTGCCATAATTAGGATATCTCATCTCCTGCTGATAGGGCTGGGGATGCTGCTTAAAGCACAACGCTGCCGCATCCCTCCCTGGCAGAAGAGCATGGTTGGGAAGATGACTTCTCCAGGTGTCCCAGCACCCAGCCCATGAGCTGGGGCTGCCCTCCAGGGCCACGAGCAGCACCTGATGGTCCCCAGGTGATTCCCTGATCTCCTTGAGCTCGGTGAGGCTCCCCACCTGCACAGCCTTAAGATGTTTCTGCTCCAGCATCATCCACAACCCTGGAGCAGCGTGGGCAGGTGGAGACCCACCCGTCCCTTGCTGCCCATGCACAGCCTGATGGGGAGAGCTGCAGGAAACCACCAGCAAAGGAAGGTTAGTGCTGTATAACCCTGAGGATACGTAAATTATTCCAAGGTGGTTTAATTAAAGACTTGCTGTGTGCAGGTGAGCCGCTGCTGGAAGGAAGGCCAGCTCCAGCCTTGGCCCCATGCAGCATACCCTGGGGTTTACATGCCCCTATTGGGCTCCTCAGCACCCAGGCGATGGGATTTGGCCCTGCAGAGGCAAAAAGGGAGCCTGGCACCCCTGGTGGGAGCGGGGTGAAGCTGGCAGAGGCTGTGGGCATGCGGAGGGGACTGTCACAGCCCCTTGGGATGGAGCCCGGTGGCACCGGAGCGGCCGGTCCAGGTGGAGCTGGGAGAGCAGGATGGATGTGTGTGGGCAAGGGGGCTGCGAAGTTTTTGGTCTCGATTCAAGCCCCTGAAAGCCAGAAGTAAAATACCATCCATTGTTGGTTTATACACCCGTAGTAGCCAAACAAACATCCCCGGAGCCGGTCCTTATCACTTTATTACACCTGCTAGAGTGAATAGATTAAAGAGGACGGGGGAGGGGGGAGAAAGCAGAAGAATCCAGCAGAAAAACCGGGTTTTGGGATTGTTAATTATTCTCTGGGGTCTCTAATCTTTAACTGGCAAACAGCATCACTAACTGTCTTAAAGCCCCTCCTGGAACATCCTGATAATAAGCCATCTGCATGAAGGCACCCCGTTATCTGCCCTCCTCCAGCCGTCTGTGACATGGCTGGAGCGGGAGATAATGAATGTGCGGCGTGTAATAACGACACGTCATTCATGATTATCGGCCTGATACCCAACCTTTTAGCTCCATTGTTTGTGCTTCAAGAAAAAAAAAAAAAAAAAAGAAAGAAAAAGGGAAAGAAGAAAAGGGGGATTTGAGGTGCTGCGTGCGCAGCCTGGGGTCTCCGAAGCGTCTCCGTGCCAAAGGGGCTGGCTCTGGAGGCATCTCCCCAAGGGTTTGTGGTACCCTGCAAGGAATTGCCCGGCCATTGGCAGCTGCTGTAGCTATGGTGATGGAGGGAGTGAGATGAGGCAGTGCAGAAATGTCACCGCCCAGCAGGGAGGCATTTTGGGGCCAAGGCTTGGCGATGAGGTCCCCGTCACCCGGCACTGCTGGCTCCTCGTGGTGCTTTCCGTGCCCTCGGAGCTGTTTAGGCTCTGCAGCAGAGGTTATCTCACACTGCTTGACACGCTGCTGTCCAGAAGCTGCCAGCATTTGTAGGTGGGAGGGCTGTCTGGGTCACTTGGTTTAATTGGGATAAGCTGAAATGTAGGATCTTCTCCTGGCTGTGACAGCCCCGTGATGCAGTGGCAGGGTGACACCTTCCCCCAGAGCCTGCGTCCTTGTGCGGACAAATTGCACACCTGGGCTAAGCGTGCTTCTGTCCAGGCTGGGACTCTGAAATCTCTGGTTCTGGCTCCTTCAATTATTGTCAGAATCTCCTGGAGTAATGACTTGGGGTTTGCATCAAAAGTGGAGGTAATTCTGCCTCTTTCCTGAGTAGATTTCCCACTGCTTTTCTTCCAAGGGGGGTGTCTGATGGATGTGGTTGGGGTTCAGCCATTCAGGAGAGCCAGGAGGAGCCTGGCAAGCCAAAGAGGTGATCAGTGGGGTGATCCTGAGCAGCTCATCACCTCTGTAGGGATGCTGCAGGGACATCCTGGAGTGCCAGCTAGTTTCCTTCCCAACCAAGGAGGCTGGGCCAGGTCTCTCTGGCTCCCCAGGCTCACTGCCTGCATGGCCAGCAGAGCTGCGAGGCACCTCTCGTGTTCCCTCATCTGTGATCGAATCGTCTGACGCGCAAGGAAGGTGGCAGAGCAACACCAGCAAACTGTTCCCATGCAAACAAACCTTGTGCGCCCTGCAAACAACCACCAGCTCCAGCAGTCAGACCCTCAAGGACTGGGGTTTTTTATCCTTTCAAACAGCTGCTTAGCAGGGCATCCAGGAGAGGAGAGGAACCTTGCCTCCAGCTGCCTTGCACCATAACCACCAGCCACACCTTGCGAGGGGATGCACAGCATCCCGACCCTTTAGATGATGTCCCAATGAAGGTCCAGATCCATCCCTTTAGCCCCCCGTGCCTCAGTTTCCCCCGCTGCCTGCTGAGTGTGGGGCAGTGGCAGATCTCCCTGGCCCCCAGCCCTAATCCCCTAATCCCCCACAGAGGGCACAGGCGGCTCCTCCGAAGCCAAAGTGGAAGAAGAAAAAAAAAAAAAAAAAAAAAAAAAAAAAAAGGAGGATTTGGGGTTTCCGCATCTCCCACTGCCACCTAGCGATGCAGCGCGGCCCCGCAGCTCCCCAGGAGCTGGGCACGGCCCCTGCCCTGCTGCTGCCGGTGGGGACACCAACCTGTCCCCGTGTTTTATTGTCTCGCCACCACCTCCGTTTTTTGTCATCGCCATCGCTGTTTGTGGGGGAATTTTCCTTCTGCTGCATTCAGAGCCAGGCTGTTGCAGTTATTTCCTTACCGCAAGACACCGACATGCCCCAGGGCGAGGGCTCGGTGACCCGTGGTGTGGTGTGGGTGTGAGCGGCCTTCTTGGGGACAAAAACCTCCTCGGCAGCCTTTGTGGCTTGGGAAAACACAACGGCAGGGCTGCACCTTCCTGGGCTGTGGGACAGGGGCAGAGCAAGGGGCACAGCCCTGCCTCTGGCTGCTGGCCTCATCCTGCTCCCAGGTGTAAAGGGAGCTGAAGGCACACTCTGGGAGCACCTCTGCACGGCTTTCTTCTTGTTTGGGGGAGGACAAGCCTACGCACACACAGATTTGAGTGTTTTTTCCAGGTTATCTGGCTCCCGAGCACCCTCAGCTCGAGGAAGTTCAGCGTGCAGTCAGAAAAACCTGCTGGCCTGCGTGTCTGTGGTGCCCGGCACGACGCCAGCCCGCAGCCTGTCAGGGGAAGGTTTCTCCCTGAGCTTCATCCGGAGTGATCCTAGGCTGATAGGGGGTGGACATATGGTGCTGGGGCAGCAGGCAGGCTTTAGGGACCTGACCAACAACCCCACTCCAGCTGGGAGCAGGCAACAGTGCAAACACGCTGGTGGGTGGTGGAAACCCCAAGGAGATGGCAAGGAAATGAGGAGGACACAGAGGATCCTTGGATGTCCAGAAAATCTAGGTGTCTGTTCTTCTGGATGTTGTCAAGCTCCTTGTCACTGGAGAGCAATAATTTTCTTTCTTTTATTACTTTATCTGCACAGAAGAATGAGCAATACATTAGGTGCATCCTACCCTCTGGAGAGAGTACGTACCATACTGGGTCAGTGGTTTAGACCCTGTGTAACGCCTAATCCTCTGGTCAGTGCCTTCCTAAGGCCCACTCTGAGCTCCAGCTGCAAGAGGATGAGAAGTTTAGCTGGGAGAGAAAGGTGGAGAAATACCTGTGTGTGCATAGGCCAGCTTACAGGCATCCTGAAACTTGCGGCCTTGGCGAGTCCAGCCATAGAAGGCATCTCCGTAAGGTAAAGCCTGTATTCTCTTGCTGACAAGGCAGCTCACTTCATGAACAGCTCTGATATAATAGTCTGGGTTGCTGTGAGAGACCAAGGTTAATGTTGGTGTTGGCAGTTGAGTGGGGTAAACAGGAGTGCTTGTTTTCCCAGAATTTGGAGGTTCGTGCACTGACCTCTGGGTCTGGCAGGCGGTGCTAGAGCTGAAGGCGCACTTCATGATGTTGTCTAGCGTCATCAAGCTGATGTCTTGAAACACCTCCACTGACGTCCTCTGCATGCTGGCCTTTTCTCATTTATCCGAGTGGTGGAGAAAGCACGTGACAGGATGGACTTCTACTGCGGACTCAGCCACAGTACAATCAGGTCATATTTCCCTATCCCTGCCTCTTCCCAGATCCACGCTGCCAAGCTAATTCCTCTATTTTCTCCAACAAAGAGCCTAGTTCAATGCATATTCTGTGAATTTAACCAAGCTGTTCTGTGCATTTATTTTTCCAAGTTTACTATAGCAGTTGATTTTACTGGAAAGCAGATGAAAGATGAAAGTGCAACAGCCAGAGGAAGGTGGAGGGAGAAATTTCAGAACTTCAAAAATCCCCTCAAAATTCAATGAAATTCTAGGAGCAATCTAAGTCCAGTCTCTTTCTTTCCCTCATTCCCACACCTGACTGTTTTCACTGGTGCACAGTTACAAGCTTAAAGTGTCAGGAATGATGATCCTCACCAGCATCACGTTGACAGAGTCGGACATCAGGGCCATGTAAGATTTTAGCACGTTGTAATGAAATGCAGGAGCGAGCAGCTTCCGATGCTGAGACCACTTGGTCCCATTCAGGGTCAAGATCCCATGCCCTGGAGACACCAAAAGTAGCAGTCAGCTTCTCCAAACTTTGATCGTGGCTCTGACAGCCTTTTGGTTGAGCAGCAGGTTAACGTGCAGGGTCTGGAAGGAGAAGGATTTGGTGGTGGAGCCTTTTCTCCAGCCTCCCTGAGGCTACCACAGTCATGCTCTTTGGATGGAGGAGAAGCATGTCAGCGTGTCCTGCACTGCCAGCCATGCACACCCAATTTGCTCTGAAACTGGCTCTCCACCAAATCTGTGGTAGTGAAGGCACGGGGCTTGCTCTTGGGTTTTCTGCCCTAAATTTTGCAGCACACACTGCCTTGAGCAGGCTTTCTTTTAGCTTTTAGTCTAAATTAGTCCACAGCCAATTGAAGGCAGTGTTTTTACTGCAAAAACCTCCTGTTTATCTGGTGTTCATTGTCCAGATGTGTCCTTTTTTATAGTGGCAGAGACCTGGAGATCATTGGCTGAAATGAATCTGCACAGCCCCAGTGAAAACATTTAAACTTTTTAGACACAAAGTTTATATGGAAATACCTTACCAGACCCATGAATTACCTGACTCCATGACAGTGACTGAAGGTTAGTGAACTGAGAAACTTTTCCCTCAGCTGGCCTGTGGCATATTTGTTAATTAATGATTGCAAAGACAGAACCCTGGGTACAGGCTTTAATATTACAGTCCTGGGCAGATTTGAAGTGTCCGGCAGCTGTGAACCCACGCGAGGGCTGGTGGGTACGTTGCTGGGCTGTTGCACATGAAAGCAGGCTGAAGTTCACCATGTGCTGGTTTGGGTGTAGGATGGGAAAGTGCCCAGCCATGAAAGTTGGACTCATTCTGCGTGATGACCCTTTTTTTTTTTTTTTTTTTTCTTTTCATGGATGGGTAAACTACTGCACAGAGCAGGAAGACTCAGCCTGACTCCTTGCTGGTCTTTGCAGAAAAAGTGATTGTGTGAGTTCCTCAGCTGGGATAGGATGACCAAGCCAATATTGCAGCTCTCCACATGGCACTGAGCTTTTGTTAGCATGACAGGAAGATGTGCTGCAAAGAGACAATGATAACAGCTGATAATCTTTTATATCTCCCCAGACTTGGGTGTTTCTGCTGCTTGAGCCCCGTCCTACCACCTTGCTTCAGCTCCTTGCTGTGACCACCCCCCTGAACTGGACCCCCATAACCCATACTAAGATGGTACCTATGGCTGTTCAGGCTAGGAAGAAGAGGAAGATGGGGATATATCCCCTGCTGGCTTTTGTCACCCTGACTTCTTCCCCACACCATTGCTAACGTGCTGCATCGTTTGGCCCAGAGCCTGGTAAATCATTAGAACCACATCAGCCAACAATTTTGAAATTTAAAGAAGACACAGGGACTCCTTGTAAGGCAAAGCTGTGGATTAAGCTATTGTCTTGGAGAACTCCCCTGGCAGGCACAGAACAGAGTTAATTTTTCACACACTTGGCCAGCTTCCTGATGCTGAGTGCATCTTGTTATGCCAAGCTGGCTGAATCCATGCAAAAGTTCAGAGGAGAATGAAAAGTAGTTCAGGAGGCAGGAGATTGGAGTATGTCAGACCAAGCATTAGGGAAGGATTCCTTAGGGAAGGATTTGTCTGCAGCCCAAGCAAGAGAGACCCAGTTTGCCTTGAGAACTTCACACCCCTGAGTACGAGTTCCTAACTCCAGGGACCTCATGGCTATGGAAGATGTAGGAGACACATCTCCTTCCCTTTTCTGCACAGCACCCCTAGCTCTTCCTACAATCATCCTCCACTGTCTGCAGCGTTGTGATTAACAGGCAATTAGGAGAGGAGGCAGCATGGGCTGGCTGTCCAGCTGGCTGGGAGGAGGGAGGGTTGCAGTTCATCAGGGCTCCTGCTGATGCTTCTTGACTGCTCGAGGAGGTGGAGAAGGGCAGTGGCTTCTGTGGGTCATTTGTGCTGAAGACCTCAACACACTCATAGATCGCTCATAAAAGTTGAGTGCCTTGCCAGGGCCACGTAAAGGACAGAGGGAGAGATGGGGATGAGCCTTTGGCTAGCACCAGTGGAGCTGTTTTTGGGGTGCCTTACCCTATTACCAGACTGAGAGATCTGAACCTACCTGGCCGCTTTCAGCAATCACCCACAAAATGGAGCAGAAATCCCTTGAGACCCACAGGTGGAGGAGCCTGGCTGGAGAGTCTCCAGACCTGTATAACTACACAGACATTCTCATTGCTGACAAAGTCCCCGGACAATAGGTTTCATTATTACCAGGCAGGGTGGATTTTTACCCATCTGGCTCCCCGGTAGTTATTTAATAACCAGTATCAACTTCTGGGCATAGAGTCAAGGATATATGGGTTGGTCAAGGGAGATGTAGTGCCTTGAGCTGACGGGGAAAGAAGAAAGGGCCTGGGAGAAGAGTGGCTGGAGCCTCATTTTTGGGGATTAGGAAGAAGAATCTGATCCTGGGCGACATCAAACCCAGGTTCCTCTGAAGGGGTCTGGCCTAATCCAGCCTCCATCCTCTGCATTTTCTGTTTCACCGGTGGGGGGGGTGTAAAACACTTTTATCACAGACATTCGGAGGTTTGGGGCCTGCTTTGAATGTTTGGTCTGATACTCTTCAGCACAGCCTGGGGAAGATAGCACAGGGAATTTCTGCAGGGAAAGAAATTGTGGAAGTTCAAAAGGGAAAGTGAAGCAGCCAAGGAGCCACAGGCAGAGACACAAGGGACAGTGCAGGCCTGGTCATTACAAGGGACTGAGGCAAGGCCTACAGCCCTGCTGCGCCCACACATCCCAGCTGAAGTGAGGGGCCTCAGAAGGAAAATCTCATCTGGAAAAGCAGCTGCAGGAGCCTCCTGATAGCCCGAGAGGTCCGTGTGGGTTGGCACAGTGAACAGGGGCTTGGCTTCACCTTCTGGGCATCTGAAGCTAACAGAGCTACAGGTGGCAGCTAAAGGATGCTTGGGAGGTTGTCAAGCGTTTGCAAAGAACCTGTCTGCTTTTCACTTGTGTATGCCTGCTTAATGGCAGTGTATACCAAGACACATCATGCCATAAATTAAAAAAAAAAAAAAAGTTACACTAAGGATCTACCATCCTGTACCACAGCCTTCCACACATCAGAAAGTTGTTTTCAGGGTCTTGGGAGTCTCCGCACTTAATTTAGACACCTAAAGAGAAGAAAGGAAGGTTCTTTCTCAATGGCTGGACACATACTGTTAGCAGTTTGCCAAGCAGATGAAATTTAGGTGGCAAATTGGTACTTTGCCCCAGAGCTCGACCTTGCAGCAGCTGCTTTCCTGGGTGTGCCTGTGTTTATTTGGATAGGAAGAAGAGCCCAAACCATCTGTCCCTGTGTGTTCCTGCAGCGCTTAGTGCTGAGAGATGAAATGTGGTTGTAATGCCAAGAAAAATAATGTTCCAGGCTTCCTAACACATGATATATGAGGAAATCATGGCAAGAGCCCAGCAAGTGTCGCAGAGTAATGTGAGCTGCCTGGATCCCATCTGACCACACACATCTCCAGAGTGAATTTATATCTGGAAGCATTCAATGCAGCTGTCTTACCAGTATGTTGCAATACTTATTTAATTTACAGGTTGCTCCCACTGCAATATCCCAGTGGGGTTTAGATGAGGACTGCTGGTAGCACCTGATAATGGGTTTGCCCAGAGAGCAGCACGTGTCCTGCGCAGGGATTGTGTTCCCCAGGGATGGGAGCAAGCCACTGTCACTGCTGGATCTGCCAGCCCTGGTGTGCTTGGCAGGGAGCGAGAAGGTGACAGCACCAGGCTGATGTGAGTTATTGAAAGGCCAGGGCTGCTGCTGTTTAGCTGTAGCAATGAAAGAAATCCAAGATCTTTTTAACCAAAATGAATCCTTACCCTGCTGCACCCAGCAGAGCCCCTTAATGAACTCTTGATAAATTAGTTATCTGAAGGTCTGAATCAGGCAGCGCAAGGTCAGCTTATCATCTTTGCAATTACCCTTTTGGCAGGAAGTAGAGAAGGATTAAAAAATGAAGTAACCTCTCTGCATCTAGTATTTAACTGTCTTTATCGGTCTGGGTTGCACATCCCATGTGACCAGATCTTTTCTTTACTCTCAAGTGTCTTAATATCTAGCAGAGGAAAGGTAACTGGCAGGAGAGACACCCTCAGAAATGGCATTCGGGAACGATCTGGCACCAGGACTGAGTTGTCCCAGCAGCCTCAGCCTGAGTGTCCAGTTCCAAAGCAGAGCAGCCACTGAAGATGTGGGATGCAGGTTATGGGATGAGGGATGTGGGATGTAGGATGGTGTGGGAAGCTGTAAAGGCCTTGGATCTGTGCAAGCACTGCTCTGCTAAAACATCATTGTTTTATCAGCATTATTCTCATCCTAAATCCAACACACAGCACCATAGCAGCTACTAGGAGGAAAATTAACTCTAGCCCAGCTGAAACCAGGACACCATGCCAAGAAGCGATGGGCACAAGGCAGGGAGAAGGGTAGCAATGCTGCAGAATAACTTTCCTATTGCTCTTCAGATATGGAGAAGCAGATTTTTAGTGAGTCCTAAAAGTCCCGAGTGACTGAACAGGGCAAAGGCAGGAGCAACCCGGCCACGAACATGTATGTCAGCTGGGAATGCAGCAGAGCAGCCTTTCCTCTACCCCCAGCCCATGCCCAAAAGACAGGCAGACCAGAGGTGTCCTGCTGCGGCCCTACATCACAGCACATCCATTGCTCTCTTTGGCCATTTGGATTCTGCTGCAAAAATGGTGACCTGCTCTTAAAAGCTCTGAAAATGGGGATTTCCAAGCAACCTACATCAGTGCTCAAGAAACTTCACAGATTGCTTTGTGATATGTAATCTGTGTGTACACAAGTGCAGTTTAGCAGAGGACATTTATTTATGTGAGGACCATTGTGACAAGGTCCTGTGATCTGATCCCCATTTACCTACTCCCATTCAGCGGGTGCACTCTGAGTTCAGCCTCGTGCTCTTGCTAATCTGATGTTCTTGCTTTCATTTTTCACTTTTGCATGCCAAGGTTCACCCACATGATGGTATTTTTTTTTAATCTTATCATGAAATAAAACTGAATCCAATAAAGAGATGTATGTTGTTTGCTTCTGGTGACCAGCTATTTTGATTAAAAAAATCTCATATTACACGTGAGAATATGAAGGCAAGGTATATCTTGGAGTAAATGTAGTTGCCTTTATGCTTGAATATGGTTGAAGGGCAGTGTCTTTTTTCATCTAGTAAACGGAGATGGAAGGGAAAATTTTAGAGAAATATTATATAAGTATCCAAGTTTAGTGTCTATGTTGATTACAACAGCTGGATATTATTGATTCATGTTACCTTTATAGTCCTCCATGTCTTCAAAATACCTTTTTGGAGAGGCTGCAGCCCCATCAGTCGTTTCCCTTCATAATTTTGTGCAGTACCTATGCCCGCTCTTTTGCTTTGTGTGTCCTTACAGAGCCACATCCTGATCATTTGATCAGTTTTTCCAACTTATCAAGGTGATTCTGAATCCTAATACCACATCTGTTTTCTGAACTACTGGGAGAAATCTTGTTTTAGTCACTTTGGCAGTTTTTGTAATGGAGGTGGTTTATTCTGTGGGGCCCATGGGAGGAGACTGTGGGGCGGCTGGTGTGACCGAGCTGGTGAGCATCAGCAATACAAACCAAAGCAGTGGCTGGTAGAGGAATTACTGGTTTATTAATGCAAAAATTACAGCATATTCTGCAGTTTGAGCAGAACTTTGTGGCCCAAACTATAGTCAGTGCATTGAGTGTAATCAGGCATTGAGCAGGAAAAGAGAGGCGAGGTCTGCCCCAAGCTGACCTGCAGGCACTGGGGAGGTGCGGGCACCGAGGTGACCATGGGGACACATTCAGCTGCTGGCAGCAGCGCAGGAACGAGGAATCCTCATCCCCAAAGCCTGCTGTGCACCTTTTGTCCCAAGGAAGCATTGTTTCCTTCTCCACTCGGTCCCTCCTGCTGCCTCTCGGGCCATTTCCCAGCATCAGTGGATTTTCTTTAAGTGCAGGTGAATGCCGTTCTTGGAGCGAAGGATGATCTGAGGTATCTTCAAGGGGGGATTGGTTGGGTCGGGGGACAGCTCGAAGCGGAGCAGGGTCAGGGCCAGGGCCACTTTCAACTCGTTCATGGCAAACTGCTGCCCGATGCAGTTCCTGGGATAAAGCAGCTCAGCTCAGCCTCCAGGCACAGCAAGCACCCAGGGGATGTGAGCAGGGGGGACCAGGGAGAGGGTCCCCTGGCACAGGCTCCATTGGGCTGAGCCGTCCCCAGGGATACACGTTTCCTCTCCCCACTTCTCTTCCAAAGTCCAGTACTTTACCTGATTCCAGCAGCAAAAGGCAGAAAGGCATGAGAGTGCCTGCCAGACGTGTTCTCTGGAGAAAACCGCAAAGGGTCGAACACCTGGATATGGAGTATTGACAGCAAGAAAAGAAGCGGTTATTTAAGGAGGAAAGGTACTGACTGGTATCCTCAGAAATGCTACACCCCATGATTTCTGAACAACCCCATTGGAGAGGGGATGCATTTCAAGGTGGACTGACACTCATCCACCAGACCCCCATGGTTTCCATGGAGCCGTGCAATGGTGTTGCCAAGACAAATCAGACACAGCAATGATTACAGCTGAATTCACCACCTAGAATCTGAGCAAAACCATCTTTTTGTCTGTTAATGCGAGAAGCTTTGTCTTGCTGGTGGTGCAGCACCCTGTGAAGAGGTGCTAATGCTGCCGTGCGACGACCACCAGAGCCTGAATCACCCGAAACATGGCAGCTGCTTCTCAGCATCCCAAAGATGCTGAGAAAAGATGTGCAGCAGCAAGAGGGCCCTGCTGTCCTAACACACAGAGCAGGAGTTCAAAGAGGTGCAGCATAGGGTGGGAAAGTTATTAGAAAGGCACTCCAAGACTTACCAAAGGATCTTTCCATACCATGGGGTTTCGGTGAATGGCATAAATGCTAATCGCAACAACGCAGCCTGTAAAGCAGTCCAGGAGGAGAAAAAGGGCTCAGAGGAAAAGGCCAAATGATTTTACTGCTGTGATGTCAAGCGGACATGGGACACACAAACCTTCTGGCAGGGTGCGTCCATCGTGGAAGGTGATGGGTTTGTTGAGCTGCCGGGACACGCCGGGGACCGGCGGGTAAAGGCGAAGGCTCTCCTTGATGCACATGGTGCTGTAAGTCATCT